TAGTTAATTTGATACTAATATAGATTTATTTTTTTTCAAAATTTTATGTTATCTTCAAATTTATATTTAATTCAAAAATAAAATATTAGCAATTTCTTAAAAACACATAAAATTGTATTATATCGATATAAATAAAAAATAAAACTAAACATTAAAATCGAGATTTATCTCATTACATTGTACGAGTATCGTTCTAGTACCTCTAAATTGATAAAAACGTCTGTCATGGCTTTATCAAAACGACAACCCACTTGGTTGAAAAGTTCAACCCTTTACGATGGCGCAAAAGCCATTGGAACGCCTCGTAAAACAAATGAAAGTATTATTGTTGTGCTTTTCAGTTGGTGCAATTTTACATAATGGTACAAGAGGGATCGTCGTTGCTGCAACTTTCGTAGACATGGTAGTACGGCCCTCCATAGCAGCTATAATGGTGAGGATAAACTTGCAGTGGCACCACCGTAGCCGGCGTTTGACTGGCGGCAGCAGCGGCGGTGACAGCGGGTTTCTTCTCCTCCACCGGACCAACACTCACCAGCTCCGTGCATCCTACGCCTTTCCTTAGCAGCGTCGCGAGTTTGACTGAGTCGATTCCTTCCCCAGTCACTTTGATTTGGTTTTTATCTGATCCGATCAAAGCCGCTGATTCCACACCTGTTTGTCAATTAATTTCAGATTATGATTTAATTCAATAAACTAATTCAACCAATCCAGATCGATGAACATTCAGTGAAAGTGAAACTGGTTCATGGTGTCATTGAGCATGACTAGTGAAACGGTTGCATAATGTATTTGGTTCGTCATGAAATAATTGCATGATGAAACGGGTACATGAAGAAACTGCTCAAAAATCTTGAAGATTGTAATATGCTTTAGATTCTTTAAAATTGCAAGGCTTAAAGGAATTAATGCATCAAACCAGGAGCGAAAGGAAGAAAATAATTTTACATGAAAAAATATTCATGAAAGTAAACTAATCTTGGAAGAAAATAATTTTGCATGAAAAAAGATTCATGAAAGTAAACTAATCATGGAAGAAAATAATTTTGCATGAAAAAAGATTCATGAAAGATCAAGTAGGATGTTACCAAATATTAAATTTTGTTTACCATTTATGCCCTTACTGATGAAATAAAATAAAATTTTAATATATATTTTTTAATTTCCTAAAATAAAGTAAACTAATCTTGGCTATTGATCAAGAAAATGGATGGATGAGATTGGTTTACACGATTTACACAAATGGGGTCGGTTTTTATTTGAACGCTCCTCTCTCTCTCTCTCTCTATATATATATATATATATATATATATATATGGTTTGGTTCACATGAGATCAAAGGTTTTTCATGAGACCCGTACAACCAATTTTTGTTCATTGATTAATTTTATAAGCTAATGATCTAATGGTCTAAAGTTGAACGGAAACAATTTTGTGCTTATTGAGAAGTCTCGTAACAATTTTGTGATTATGAATGTTTAGATTGTAGATCTAATCCAAGAGTTGAGAATTGGTCTTACGGGTCTCACGAAAAACATTTGGTCTCACATGATCCCAAGTCTATATATATACTAGGAGAGTACTCGTGCAATGCAGCGACACTACTAAAAAAAAGGGTATCACCGACGGATTTTTCTGGCTGAAATTCCGTCGGAAATATTCCCGACGGATCCCAAAAAAGTCAAACAAAGTTGTTTTTCCGACGGATTTTGCCGTCGGAAAAACCAGATTTTTTAGTAATGCGAGACGCATCTTGATTTTAATGTTCTATTTTATTTTTTGTCTCTGTTGATGTTATAATATGATTTTATATGTTTTTTAAGAAAACAATAATGATTTTATTTTTGAAAAAAATATATTAATGTTAATATCAAATCAACTATTTTAAAAGTTTTAATTTTTTTGTGTAATTTTCTT